GGGGGGGGGGCTCGGCCCCTTATGCCCCCCTCCCGGTTCCTACGGCCATGTAGTATTCAGTCTGTTGCAGTGAGGTTCATCGATGTCTGCATGAATGGCCAAGAACTAAAATTATAGTCTTCTTCTCCAATCAGAATTTTTTGATTCCGATATTCTTTAAACAAGAAGTTAAAGGGTTTTTATCACGTATCTAATTTAAAAAAAAAAAAAAAAAAATGAAACACTACTATATTCTTTAAACATATAAATATCGTTTAATTATGAAATAACTTTGAAAACAGTCATAATTAGGCGATAAAACGCCCGTAATATAGAGTTCTCGAAGTAAAAATCTCCACTAATTAGATAGGGGTCACGTGGTACTGAAACGTCATAGGTGACAAAGGGCAATTAGAACTCGTAAAGCTTATCTTAAGAAACAGGGTTGGCAAAAAACTGGGAATTACTCATATTTCCCAGGACGGTGGGAAATTCTGGTAATTACCGGGAATTACTGGTATTTCCCGGGAAATACTGGGAAATAAGAAATAGCTACTAACATATTTCATTCATATTGACAAGTAGTACACGTTATTGGCTAAGATATCTACCTGGTATCATTGTCCCTGATTTAAAAAATTCTGGTTTCCAAGTAATTCATTTTGTATAATCATAACACAGTATATTCATATACCAGTCATGAGTGTCATTTGTTTCATGCTTGAGACAGACGTAGTCTATAAAGGTCCATGAAATGAACCCCAAGATCCCAAATGGGTTTTTATCTAAGAAAATTCTTAAATGTAGAGTATGGTATTAATATCAAAACTAAGAAGAAGCCTTTCAGTTCTACTCAAGGTAATTATATCTTAAAACAGGAGCACAAAACTGTCCAGAGCAATTTGTTAAAACAACATGATTGTTTGTAATAACTACAGTGTTTATAGAAGGATTAAAACAAGTTTGGGTTTTTTTTTTTGTTCTTAGATTTATAATTAACAAATTTAATAATTTTACAAAACTGATAAGAAACTTGAATTGGAAAACTTCAGTTTTACACAGAATGCTTATGGGAATGGGACCTGGAGTAGTGATACATTCTGAATATGTTCAATTGCAATTTGAGACATATTCCATATTATTCATCTTTGTTTTATGTTTATTTTATTTTTGAATTTTATATAAGATTGAATGAATTAAAGATAGAAAAAAACTTTATCTTTGTATTTCCCAGTATTTCCCACTTTAGAGAAATTTGTAGTATTTCCCGGGACGGGAAATACCGGTATTTACCACTGGTAATTCCCACCACTGGTATTTCCCGGCCAACCCTGTTAAGAAAAATATATCAAATAGATTTTGACGTTAAATAATATACACTTCACAAGAAGGTCGGTGGAAATTTTGACATCGACGATATTCTTTTAGTTATGGACGGTCAATCTTTTATTTATGAACGTCTAGCAGAGAGAAATAACCAAGAAAATGCGGGCAATAGGAGAGGACACCGCAGACAAAGCCGTTGACAACTCAGGACTTCTGACTAAATAGAAAGTTGGACTTCGTAAATATTTATAAAGATGAGAAAATTCAACTTCTTCCTTATTCTAATAAATTCAACTTCTTCCTTATTTTAATAAACTATATATATATATATATATATATATATATATATATATATATATATATATATATATATATATATATATATATATATATATATAAAATCCTGTACATCTTATATCTGTCCAGTGAATAACATGTAATAGAAATGACATTTCTTCAACAGTGTTCAATGGCGCCGTACGCCATTACGAAGTTCACAACATTCCTACTAGCTTATACTAGATTCTGTGCGACTTTAAAAATACGTATTGGGTATTTTTTTTTCGTTTTAAAAAGGTACCATGTCCTTAAAAAAATTTATGGTACAGAAAAAAATCGTGATCGGGCATAAACGAATGTTCTGAATGGAGACAAAGCCCTCGCGTTTGCAGAAAAAAGGACCCATTTTCGTTTGTCGACCAAGTCCAGGAAATGTGAAAAAAGTCTTCCTAAAACCTTTCTCGTGCGCATTTGTGCATCCTAAACCAACAAATTAAACCTTACTAGCTTTCAATTATCCAATTATCACTTATTTATTTACTAACAGGTTAAATAGACATAACAAATGAGCCGTTTTGTATACTCAATAAGTATTTTGCTTGAATAGGATTTACACCTATGACGTCAGAGCAATGGCGCAAAGCATCGTCGATCAAAATATGCATATTGAGAAATTCAAACTTTGAATCGCTGAAACATCAACAATATTAATTTTCTATCAAAGATTTTTAAATATATGATTTTAATAACAGTCATGTAAACTTTCTCTTATAAAAAATTTTGAGACGTGATAAAAACCCTTTAAAGAACCCTTAATGACTGGCCTAACTTTATTTGCCCATATAAGGTTATGCACTTTCAACAACTACCGCCTGCAACGCACGTAATCTTTAATTGATATATTTTTTCCGGATCACATTTGAATAAGTGTGGTCATTGCAAAGATTTCTGTTCATCAAATAATAGTAAGGATTCTTAGCTCACAACAGATGACTTAAAAAAAAAGGGAAAAAAACCCATAGATTATCAGAAATTTTGTAGGCCATATCATATTTTCAATTCAATTCAATCTTAAAATTTTCCCTTTGAGAAAGAAACAGTAACACACAACATTTAAGTTATACTCAAACATTCATAGGATAAAATATCTTATCAAGAGGTACTTTTATTATGTTCTAAGTATTGTATATTGCAATACTATAAACACAAGTTTATTTTCACCAGCACTCCAATTTTGTGCAGTATTCTCTATTTTAGACACTTAAAACTGTAAATATTATACAGTCATTTGATATTTGTCTTTATCTGGAAAGTTTTTCATTCAATATACCCGTAATTGTGTTTTGATTCTTGCCTATTGACCCAGCACACATTTTATTTTTCTAATTGCATGTAATCATCTTTATTGTTCCATTGCTCGTAAGTTGAATTTAAGTGCATACCAAGATGTTGAAAAGTGATATACTAGCTTATTTCGAACTTTGAATGAACGATTAAATTGGGAATCATATTGGCTCATTATATAACTTTTTCAGACTTTGCAGCACTTACGTGTGTTAGGTTTCTGTTTTAAAACAGCAAACAATCTATAATTGTACATATTCAAATAATCATCGTTTGACACTAAAGCTACAAAATCCTCTAACAAAGAAGCAATTGTTATTGGTGAAGGTACATGCTTGACAAGCATGTTTTTGCAGTGATGCTCATCGACTTCTGCAAGAATAGTCCAGAACTTAACAAAGTCACTCTCTCCAAGTAACAAGTTTTTCTTCCGATATTCTTCAGATGAAAAGAAATTAAAGAATCCTATTATCACCGGCCTTAATTTGTTTGGCCTTTCATGGGGTGGTGCACTTCCAAAAAACCCGTCCAAGTAGCCTAAATAATCTTCAAGGGATATATCTTTTCCTGGGCCACATCTGAACACGTTGTCGTTCCACCATTTCTTCTGTTCATCAGCTGAAGGCGCTGAATCTCTGCCATTTACAAGTGTGCGGATCTGTTCGAGTTTAGCGTTAGTTTTTTCCATGTCGTCCGCACTAATGATGCCATCCTGGTCCGCGTCAAGAAGTCTCACCCACTGGCGCCATTTATGCATTAGGAACCAATGTTCTGTTAAGAAAGATTTATATTTGACCCATCATAAATGATGAATTGCACACATGCCTAATTAATAAACATTTATTGACTGGGTTTGAGGGCAACTTGCGTATTGTCGGACCCAAGAACTAAACTGTTTGCCTGAGGCCGTTAGGCCGAAGGCAAACAGTTTGGTTCGAGGGATCGACAAAACGCATTTGCCCGTCAGAACAGTCAATTAATGTTTTGTTATACCTTTTATTTTCCATTCTGTCAATGTCGAACACCAAAAAATAAACTAATGAGATGACATTAGCTTTTCCATTGTCAACTTTCCTTATAAGATAAGATTTAGCTGTCCCCGCCCACAGTGTGACGTAAGCGGTCCAATATCTCTCTCAGCGGTCAAACATAGACTTTTAATGACCGCTCAGTAAAACATTGGAAATGTTTGACTTTTTTTAGTATATGTTTAATAGAAATGTAAAAGGTTAAGATAACGAACAGTGATCGATCTCAAAAAATCCACAAACAATACAAATATGTGAAGAGGGCATAAAACATGGACTCCTGAAAATTCCAGAGGTGGGATCACGTGCCTAGGAGGAGTAAGCATCCCCTGTTGACCGGTCACACCCGCCGTGAGTCCTGTGTATTGACCAGGCAACGGAACTATCTGTAGTCAAGTACAAAAAGTACGAAAACAAAGGCTTAACAATTGGCGTGAAACCACTCAGCCAAAATACGACCCAGTAATTGGTTATTTTTGCTAACAAGGTCATAATAACGACCATGAAATTTGCGAAATGCTGACTTTAAATGAAGCTGTTGAAATCCCTGTAACATTAACTTATCAGTGAATAGCTGCCTCGCTTTAAAAATTGATCCTACCCAGATCAAGCTCTTGGGTGGCGAATAAGTTTGGACACATAAACACCATAAGCAGGTGATAGTGGAATATTACTACATAAATAAGGAAAGTTGACAATGAAAAAGCTAAAGTCATCTCTTTTGTCATACAATTAAGTTGTTAATTGGCCTTTATCGTTTATAGTCAGTAAAATATCTTAGTATGAAACAGATGTGGCAGACTCTGTGGTGTCTTCTATTTCAAGTTCATTGGGATATATCGAGTCGACATACGAATGGAAATAACTATTTTTAATTGATAATTGACAAGAGTAATATCTGTTCACGAATACATCATTGCCTTGAAAAGTTTTTCCCTCGGGAAATATATATATATATATATATATATATATATATATATATATATATATATATATATATATATATATATATATATATATATATATATATATATATAAGCTTACTTTGTAGTATAAGTAATAAGGTCCAGGCAATCAAGATGTAAGCAGCGTATGGCATTAACACAGCTAGCTGTCCTATTTTGGCATTGTAGTAAAAGTCGTAGAACTCAGGATGACAGACAGATGTGTAGTTAGTGAAATCTTTGTTATACAAACTAAAAATCTTTGTAGCCCCTGAAAGTTTTAATTTCATTTTTATTTGTCAAATGTGCAATTTGTAAAAAAAAAATAAAAAATAAAAAAAATAGTATTATTTTTGTCCTATTGGAAAAATTGTTTTAAAAATACACGGGATTGGGGTACTAGTTTACATGTACTAATTATCCTTGTACATTGTTTTGTGTTTTGAGCAAATTAAGAGACCATATTACTTGAAATATTAATCATTCATTTTATGGGTGGGTAATTATCTCTTGATTATTTGACAAGTGTTTCATAAGTGAATAAAGTGATTAAAAAGAATTTTTAGAAATACATACCACCAATACACATGCCAAAATTAGCAACATATAACCCCATGCAAGTGTAAAGGAAAATATATCCAATCGAATTTCTTCAATCCATATCAGATTTGGATAAACGTTTCTTACGGCGATTTTCACAAAGGACAATAACCCTCCACAAAAAGACCCACAGTATTGTGGCACACAGGACCCCGCCCTCTGCTTTTATAAACGATGTAAGGCTTTCCTCGCCTTCCTTGTCTCCGTCTTCATTAAACTTCCTCCAGTAACACTGGCCGCTGTATTTCAATCCTTTTCAAAAAGGAAACAATTTCCATCGGGTTAGAAATGTTATGCTCTTTTAATTGTGTACAGAAGGTATTGATAAATTTTTGAATTTTCAAAAGTTAGTTCATGATCATAAATCAATAAGACATTGCGTTGAAAATGGAAGACAAGGGCTCTGATTTGTTTTTAAATTACAGTCATGGAAGCATTTTTCTTTAGAAATGTATCTTTTTTCTGTGGTCTCTAACAACTTATACTATCACTATATTTCTGTAGACTTTTACAATTTATAATGTCACTTTATGCTCAGTTGTGTTGGTCTGTTTCCCAGCAATTTAGTCATTACTTGATCTATGAAACTTTGGGATTGTATAGAATCTATCTTTTTATTGCATTTATGAAACTTTGGGATCGTACAATATCTATCTTCAAATGCTTACAGTTGCAACATGTAGGGTATAAATATGAAGAAAGGAAATTGAAACATTTTGTATTCAATTGAAATGTAACATCTAGATTTTTACAAAGCAATCATTGAATAATACAGGCATCGGATTGGTAGTAATTTCAATATTAAGTGATGAAAAATATTCATAACATTCATTATCATCCAGAAGTTGACTTTGCCTGAATCAAGGTTGAATGATGATATTGTTTAATTTTAAAACTTGAATACCTGTGCCATTTGACTCACCGTAAAAAATATAGGAAATAGAAAATGCCAACATTATCAGCCAAATAATCTGCTGTGGAACTGAAATAAAAATAATACAATTGTGTACAGATTAAAGCTAAACACTTGTTATGCTATACAGACATTACTTATATGTAGAATCAGGATACATGTAATATGTTATACAAGTCTCAAGTATATATGCAGTAAATTTGTTTTATTAGAAAACTAACGTCTAAGCAAATATACAAATATTAAAATTAATGAACTTATTTGTTTAATATTACTCTTTTGAAAGATAACAATCTCTCTCTCTCTCTCTCTCTCTCTCTCTCTCTCTCTTAAAGAAGAAGAAATCAAAAGAAATAAAAAATCAAAAACAAAGAAAGAAACCACAAAGAAAATAATGCTATCTCTACCCTTAAGATATTTCAATTAAGAACAAACTTACCTGGAAATATGCCTTTTTACATGTAATTACATGTCATTGAACAGTTACTTTGATTTTCAGAGTTTTGAGGAAATATGAATAACTTTTTAGAAAAAAAAAAAAACCCATCACAAAACGTACTGGACATTTCAAAGCATTCTTGAGCTTTTTCCCACAAATTCCTGTCATCCTCTGTGTATGGATTAGATTTTTGTGATCTCCGAGGGGCTATTGTGAATACTGTGTCATAAGAAGGAGGGAGATCTTAAAAAAAGAATGAAACGTCTCATTAATTATGCAGTTGACAATCATGCTTAAGATATCAGTAAGCGAAAACAACCAGAAAATATTGGAATGTATATTTAATTCATTGATTTGAAATTGTTATATACAAATTTTCAACGGTGTGTACAAATTACATGAATTAGGAGACATTAAAAGAAGTGGAAAACCAATGTTTATACTGATGACGCAAGTATATAATCGTGAATTCTTTTGAATTTTAATAGATTGGCTCATATACTATGCTTATACATGTACCAAATCATGGTCTTTATTAAGATATTATAGCACACATTTGTCTGTGTGCTCATTGTTAAAAAAATTATAGCATTTGTCCACAAAATTTATAGACAACCACCCTATATATACCCCTCACAAAATACTCATGGAACTGCCCGCATCAAACCGTCCTAATGGGTACGTTGGATGCGATCCCTCCCCCTAAAAATCATTTTTTAAGGAAAAAATTATAACTCGACTTTTTAAATACAAGTTTTAATTTTATATTTGTAAAATGACTTTCAGAAGGTTTGTCTTAAAATGGAGGATGTACTTCTCCGAGACATCCCCTCCCCCTTCCACAACCTGTCCCGCGTATTCGCCCTGACCTCGGTATGTTTAGAATACAATGTAAGAGACCTATTACTTACTAATTTCTTGCATGTTGTCTGCTTCTACATAAGCTGATCCTCCCATTACGCCAGAAGTTCCCGGCGCTGAATACCCTGCGGGTGCCGATGGAGATTCGCCTTTCTTTTCCATTCCTAATGCGTTCCCGAACTTCTCAGTCTCTAATATGAATTTATTTTAAGAAAGAGTGTCACCATGACTTTACTCTGTCTGCAGATTAGTAAGTGTATTAAATATATTGAGCAATCATTCATAGGTTACTGATATCCTGTATTGTTGTCTTAAAACGCGGATGTATTTAAATCGAAGCGGTAAAGCACAAAGAAGTGGGTCAAAATAAACCATGCACATACTTACAACTCAACACACCATTCTGGTTCATGCGCGGATCTAGAAAGGGGGGGGGGGTTCGGGGGGTTCAATACCCCCCCCCCCCCCTGGAATTTGCAGAGTTATTAAAAGTATATATTGAAACAAATAAAAAATGACTTTGCCCCCCCCCCCCCCAAGAAAACGTGGACCACACCATCACCACCTCGAAACAGGTGTTTTTCACGTGTGGGGAATGCATTTTTCGTTTTTTTTTTATCGCTTAATTGTCAAGAAATTTTCTGGGTTTAATACGTTTGGGAAGGCAATTTAGGTTTTTTTTCTTCCGTGTCAAAGAATTTTTGGGTTGGAATTTTTTTTTTTTTTTTGGACTGGTGTGGACTCCCCCCACCCCTCCCCCCCCCCCCCACCCCCACCCCCGGAAAAAATTCCTGGATCCGCGCCTGTGGTCAATCACAAATTCTCGGTATTCCCAAAAATATATTGGGGAAAATTTACCCGAATATATCATTCCTGGCGAAATACATGTACTTATATGCAATTATTCCTCGGTATTTATGAAATATTATTTTTATAAAAGATACGCATTTGAAAATTTTGACAATTGAAATATTCCGTATGTGGGTGAATATGTGTTTTATTTTATTGTTGGACAATATATATTTCATGTTTGCTATCAAGGACAGATTTAAACTTCAAGGTTACAATGGGCATGCTTATTAAAAACTGTTACTTTTTAAACCCATACTTAGTCACTGCAGGCCTTAATTTTAGAATGTGCTGTTTTCAAAAGAGAACGAAAAAAACTTGTTCCAAATATTTTTTTTTTTTCTGCTAACCCTAAGGTTATCAAATTTCATGACCTGTTAAATTGTCAGGACGCTTAAGTCATTTTGCCAAATTTTGCAAAATTTAATTGTCAATAATAAATTGATAATAACAAAACTACTGTGTAACATATGTTGTAATACATATAGATTTATTTAATACCAGCAAAGGCCTTCTATACTTTGATGTTTTTGAACTATACTTGTATGTGATGTTTTTGAACTATACATGTATGTATATAGTAATTGACGTCAGGGCCACTCATTCATGCTTAAATATATGTTATTTTGCTGTATCATTTGTATTCATATATACACCAGTTTGGGTCTTTGATTAAAAACTTGAAACTAGGATACTAGATATACCAATCGAGATTAATTTTCCGCTTACCGCCATTGCAATACTATAGCTGGCGGTTGGTGTATATCTTCGGAATAAAAATTATTATTTGACAGTTTATTTACTTGTAAAATGCTTTTTATGCCCCCGTAATCGAAGATTGGTGGTACTTATTTTTGCCCTGTACGTTCGTCTTTATGTCTGTCTAGCTGAATGTACAGAAAATTATTCGGACATAGGCACCCCACTATGGATTTAATTACTGAAAGTAACCCCATACTGTTATCTTTTACACAATGTATCTCTCAATTGTATAGCTGTCTTTCTGTTTGTCCGCAAAAACTTTAACCTTGTCCATAACTTTTGATTGGTTGGAGCTATGGCTTTTATTTTTCACAGGTGTATTCCTCGTGACAAGACCTTTCTTTAGGTACCAACAAGTTTGACCTCTTGGCCTTGCAGTTTGACCAATTTTTGCAAAAAAATTACAAACTCTAATCTTGGTCATAACATCTGAACGGTTTATGTTAAGGCTTTCATATTTCACCTGTATATTCCGTTTGAAAAGGTCTTTCCTTGAGCACAATTTTTTTTTTACCTTTCGTCCTTGGATTTTGACCTACTTTTGAAAAGCTCTAACCTTGGCCATAATTTTTGAATGGTTAGTGCTAGGGCTTTCGTATTTCACACGTGTATTCCCTGCGTAAAGATCTTCCCTTGGGCACCAACAACGTTGACCTGTTGTCCTTGGAAGTTGACCTTCTTTTGACCTTGAACACTGTTGAAGTTTGACTTGCAAGAAACTTTAACCTTTACCATTAGCTGCCATACGGGGGCATCAGTGTTTCACAAACACATCTTGTTTTATATATAAAAAGAACAACTAAATTGTCTTTTTTTTTTTTAATTCTCAGGAAAAGTTTATTTGAAATTTAATGTAATCAGGTAATGCAATTAAGTAATGCAGTTTTACAAACATGGTAGGCCAGAATATCAATTTTATTTTCAATTTTTATTTCTTGCTTCAGATGAAAATTTTATAGCTTTCCATCCGGGAAGGAAAATTCACAAACAAGAAATTATACAAAAGGGACTCAAGATTAAACAAAAACAAATATACTGTATATCTATTATAAAATTTGATTAAAAAAAAATCCTATCCTTCGGCTGCTATCACAATATCTAGGATAATCCATAAAGCATGTATTTTCAAAATGTTGAAATCGTTTGAGATGCTTCGTTCCTTTTTTCCATCAAGTCGGAAAACCACAGTTTACAATGCTTCGTTTTTCTCTCCATAACGTCGGAAACTCACACTTGATAATGCTTAACAGTCCTGGCACAAAGTTTATTCAGGACATCTAGCCATTTCAGTAGTTGCTGACGCCATGTTTTTTTATATATGAATTACCAAAATCATGTTGCAAATTTGAATTTACTGGGTGTAATGGTGGCAAGAAGATTCAAAGAGGAAAATGTTCATTAAAATAGATATACGTAGGTCACATTTTTTTGCTGTGTGGATTTTATATTTTGGAGATCTTAACACAATAGGACTTGGTATTCCCCTTTCATATCAACAAGAGTTTTCCTTCTTTTCGAATCTTGAGTCTTCAGAACGAGGTAATTTAAAAGTTGCGACAATATTTGGCATTCAAGATCATTTATGAAACAAAAAGTTTGCACTATTTTTTTTTTTACTTCAATTACATCACAATGGAAAAATTCTTGCTCATCCCACAGTAGTTCATGAGAACCTGAACTTTTTTCCTATTTGCAAAAGAATCTTAATGAAAAATATTTGGAAATGTAAATATTTTGTTAAATATTTTGTGACAATACTATTAAATCTCAACTCTGATTAACAAAAACAAATTTTGTAATCAAAACAGTTTACTGTACAATAAATTATTCTCAACACAAACATTCAACAACATAGTATATGTACTAATAAAACCAACTCATTTGGTGTGCCCAAATTTGGCTTTGTCAACCCAGTTGTGCGAAATTTGGAAAAAATGAAAATTACTAGTGGTGGAACATCAAAACAGAATACTTAATTTCAACTCATCTTTGTTTCTACAACAAAACTCTGCAAATGTGCCTCCTTAAATATTGTGTGGCTAGCAAGTTGCAAAATAAAAATCAAAGTAACAAATTTATTTTTTTTTCATAGATATTTACAGGACATGTATTTTGTACATGATAAAATATGTGGGTGTAAAATAAGCTACAAATTCCTCTTTTTAATTTTTTTAAATTTATTTCATACCTTAAAAAGAAAACTCTATACCAGAGATGGAATTACCGTATATACTCGCCTATAAGTCGGTCCGCCTATAAGTCGGTTGTATTTTTTTTAGGCTATTTTGGAGGGATTCACCATTGACCCGCTTATAAGTCGGTACAACTTTTTGCCAGAATCAGATGACAATTTCAAATAAATGCTCTGATGTTTTAACCTAGTTTCAATTAATATTTTAGAAATGAAGTAAATATCTAATTTTAAGTCATTAGAAAAATAAGTAATGCCTTCTTAAGATAAAATTTAAAATTATTAAATATATAAATTCTTGTACTTTATGTATAATCTTAGAATAACAAATGATATAATAATCCAGACTTTGTTCAATGATAATTGTCGGAAATGTTTATAAAATACAAAGTTTCGCATGTCAAGAAAAATACCAATCTTTTTATGACTTGCCTTTAAGTCGGACAAAGAGTTTTGGACTAAAATTCAACTTCAAAGAAAACGACTTATAGGCAAGTATATATGGTACTCAGTAAACTACTACATGTTCACATGTTTTTCATTACAGCTGTATAGTACAGAAGTCCTACTTTGTAGTTATATATAATTTATGATAACCACAATTACAGAATGCTGTGTTACCCTATAATGAATATATCTTTAACAAGCAGTACCCAAAACAGATAAGTAATGTACACCTTCTATTTAAAAGGACCAAGGATGTGCTTGCAAAACTATGATATTGTAGAACTCTAAGTACTCATGAAATATACATGTAAATAAACAAGTACAGTGTACTTAACATGATTGTATTTTTTTGTTCATGTTTTCACCGGATATATATTATACCCATTCCAAATAAAGTGTTCTGCATATAGAGTATAGAGGCTTCAAATTTTGCCTCCCAAAGTCATTAAAAACATTTCACACATATTCAAAAAGATTATTTTTAGAAACTGTTCAGAAATTCTTACATGGGAATAAAGCCAAGTGATTACTTGTAGAGAAATTCTGTATCAAATGTTAATTAATATGGGATTTTAAACAAACGTGTTGACTTTTGATAATTTTCTTCCCTTACAGAAATAATTATTAACCCAGCAACAGATTGCGTTTGCAAACAAAGTCAATGTATTAACCATAGAATTTGCAAAACGTTAACTTTAGACAAAATTGTTAATATCCTAGGAACAATCAATAAGGGTTCTCAAGGATTTTTATCTAGGATTTATAAAATTTACATTGTACTCACATAGGATCATGGGTAAATTTCTCATTACATACATGTACGAAAGGTGGAATGAATACTTCATTACCACTGTTCTAGCATTAAGTCTGTTAACACAAGTTTTACTTCTGCATGTTCAATAATCTAACCTAGCACTATGACCACTTACTTTTTTATATATATATAGAATGCACAATAAACATTTTCCGATAAACCAAAAATGACTATCAGCAAACATTACTACATTGTATAGCTTACATCCACACAGACATACAAACAATTAAATATTCAATTTTACATGCCCTATTTCTACATATGTACACTTTCTTCTCTCTACTGACCGTGTTGTATTTCTCAGATACACAAAAAAGCACACCAAACACAAGATATTTTTCCACACACAGTCTAACAAGCTTGGAAATTTGATGTAGCACCTGAAAAAAATATATTACTAGAATATTACATGGCTATAGACATTTGATTTAGTTCTTTGCTGGCTTTCAAGACTTCTTTGTCCTTGACATTTGACTCTTTGTTTGTTGACCCTGAACTGTCGTTAACTTCTGAGGATGAGGCAGAATTTCCACTTGTTTTGTTTGGGGGCTCTCTTGCTCCAAATATGGTGGATCCCACTCGTACATTTGTACTTCCTAGTTCAATCTGTGTAAATACAAATAAGAGGGGTTATGTCAAATATGTGTTTTTCAGTTTATTTTCCAATTTCTTTGATCTGAGATACATACAAGAAGTAAGAATCCTATGAAACTTAAACTTGATCTTCAACTGTACTATTTTTACAAAAGTGAAAGAGCTAAGACCTTATAATTCAAATAATTTGCAAAATTAAAGTGACAGATGCTCAATCAGTTTGGAACAAACTTACTGCATGTTTAAAAGGATAGACAATTTCTTTCATATAATCATACAAATAATTTTACTCCACCATAAGATATATTATTTTGAGTATTTATAAATTATGTGTGTTTGTTAAAAGCCACAAATGATAAATTGGTTTGATGCAAATTATTCTATGTTTAAAAATGACATTTCATATTATTGTTTGATATACACTTACTGCATGTTTCATATATTATTTGATATACACTTACTGCATGTTCAAAGTCAGCTGACATCCCCATGCTCAGTTCCACTTCCTGTTTATTTAGTTTTAATTCCTCGCATAGTTTATTTCGACATTCTGATAATTTCTGTCAAAAGATGATAAATCTCTCTTCAACTAATAAAATACAAATATCCTGCACAAATATAAAGATTGAATATAAGTATCTTTCTTAAATAATGTTTACCACATTAAAAAGTTGCCCAGTGAGGAATATATGAACAAAACACAAAAAGACTATAATGTACATAGCCAGAGAGCTCCAAAATGAGGTCACCATGACCTGTTTTGGGGTTGTCTAAAAACTCTCATCCAAAGACACATCAACTGACAATTAAGGTTTAATGTTTTAAGGCCTCACAGTGTGCAACTCATGGACTGAAAAGAATTGGATAATGCGACCTACTTTTGGTCTATGAAACACACTCTTCAGAATGCAGACTTTTGATGATACTAAAAATACTGGAAGTTTTACAGTTCTCATAAAAAGAGCATTTCTCGCCACTGATCTTAATGTCGAATTGTATTAGTGTGACTGCACAATGTGTACATATGATTTTAAAGTTTGCATTTTAATGTTGGCTGAAAAATCACCTCTCTATTTACATACATGTAACTATCAAGACTTGAAGAGATTTAGTTCAGATATAGAAGGATGCTTGTACATTCATGTGGCCTCTTGATTGGATGAGAGTTTCAAGAAGCAAGGACAGACATTCAACCATGACATTTGTAGGAAAATAACATAAGTATTTAAATATGTAATTAAAAATGCAATACCAAAAAATCTGGGTTAGGTCCTTGTGATAGGTCATGATCAAAAGATCCAATAGTCATCAAGCCTGCAAACTCTAGGTTGGGGCATTTCTCTTTGATGTTTTTCACGATGTTCACAACTTCATCTGTATTGCACCCAGACTTGCCTGCAAATATCAAATAAGATTATTGTATATGTTATGGACTGTATAGAGATCATGCAAGTCCAGCTTAATTATTGCCATTAACTAAAAATAACATCAGATGCACATACACCAGATATACATGTAGATTAATAGCAGAGCTGCTGACATTTCCTCAATGATTTTTGTAGAATACAAAATAGAATTAGTTGTGAGAACCAAAGATGCCAAATCACTTAAATCAATGTCCTGGATGATTGTTACTCAAAAAGCTTAACCCTATTCCAAAGGATGATATAATCACATTTTTCATACTTATGTAGTAAATGTCAGGACTGCCTATTTTTTATACTGTATCACAATGAAATTATTCTTAAAATAATTTCATAACCTCCTAAGTTGTTTTCATAACGGACGTCTTGCACTGGTACCTGAATTAAATCTAGTCAATTATTGCTTGCAAAGACTTGAAATAAAAGATAAATTACCATCTTAGTGTCTTCATTACTTATGTTGACCTGAATTATTACTGACTTGTTTCCTCTACCTCTGTTGACATGAATTATGACTGATGAATGACTGACTTATGTCTTTATTACTTGTCTTGACCTAAATTATAACTGATGAATGACTAACTTACTGTCTTCATTACTTGTTTTGACCTGAATTATAATTGATGAATGACTAACTTACATGTATGTCTTTATTACTTGTATTGACCTGAATTATAACTGATGACTGATTCACTGTCTTAATTACTTGTGTTGACCTGAATTATAACTGATGAATGACTGACTTATTTCTTCATTACTTGTGTTGACCTGAATTGTAACTGATGAATGATTGACTTACTGTCTTCACTATGTTTATTGATCTGAATTATAACTGATGAATGCCTGACTTTTATCTTTATTGTGTTGACTTGAATTATAACTGATGAATGACAAATTTACTGTCTTAATTACTTGTGTTGACCTGAATTATAACTGATGAATGACTGACTTTCTGTTTCCTCTATTTGTGTTGACCTGAATTTTAACTGATGAATGACTGACTTACTTTCTTCATTATTTGTGTTGACCTGAATTATGACTGATGAATGACTGACTTTTGTCTTCATTACTCGTGTTGACCTAAATTATAACTGATGAATGACTAACTTACTGTCTTCATTCCTTGTTTTGACCTGAATTATAATTGATGAATGACTAACTTACATGTATGTCTTTATTACTTGTATTGACCTGAATTTTAACTGATGAATGACTGACTTACTGTCTTCATTACTTGTGTTGACTTGTACCATCACTTTCAGTTTCCCTTCTTTATTTTTGGACTCCCACTGTCTGTTCAGTGCATTGGCAATTTTGTCTGAATGCACGGTCTCCACCATAAAGAGATTAGGACATGCTACAAACACACAAAATATACAGGAAATACAGGAAACCGTATTTATGGCCAGCATGGAAATGGCAAATCCATGTAAATTAAAGCTACAGTAAATATCCAAAAATAAGAGCTCTCAAAATTCAGCACAAGTTCTTCCACTTCAACAGTTTAGCACTACTATATATAGCACACTTGAGTCTAATAAATGACATGTATAAGTTTAAAATTACTTATAAGCAATGTACATGAATTAGCGGACAAACAAAAAGCAGTGCAAAAGATGCTAAAATATGATTACTATTAAAATAAGTAAGTGTAGTACAGTATCCATATTTTAATTTCACAGTTGAACTTGCTATTGACTGGATATTGATCTTCACATTTTTCATTCATATAATGAATTGCAGATTTTATGAATATATCTACCTTTGGTGATTTGCTTAAATTACCATATATACTCGCCTAAAAGTCAGTTTTTTTAGGGGGCGTTAAATTTTGGTCCAAAACTCTATGTCCGACTTATAGGTGAGTATATGTGGTATGTAATTGACTGTAAACATTTTAAACAACTCATAGTTATAATACTAATTAAAGCTTTTCCAAACTGGAAAATGTATCTGGAACTTTTAATGCAGTTTAGTTCTTCAATTTAATTTTGGTATCTCATTAATATTATGAATATTGTATCTCTTACAATTTTATAAACAAATAGCAGAAATTACATATATATAATATCAATGAAGTACATGAAAACAATCATTTTTTAACTCTTGTTCTTTATTTCTTCAACATGATAATTTTTTTTCTTTAACCTTTTGACCCATAAGTAAAACATGGACCTTACAAGTCCAGAGTTACATACTATGAGTAAGCTTGCAAAATGATACCCCCTCTGCTTTTTATAAAGTATTGCATCTAATATTTCTCTCTTAAAAAGTTATGGACCATGCATTGCACAAATTTTACACTTTTTAAGCCAACTGACCTTGAACTTACCCAAATGACTTTGCATCAAGGTCATGACACTCCCTCAGGTCATAAGAAATTCTGTGCCAAGTATGACCTTCCAAGTTTCTCAATTACAAAACTTGGCCAAAGACTAATACACTTTTTTCAGTAACAACCTTGAAAGTGCCCAAATGATTATGGATCAAGATTACGACACAACCTTGGGTAGGAGTATTCTCTATGTGAAGCATGATCTTCTAATGCTGAGTGCTTCTCTCTTAGAAAAATATTTATCAGTCATTAATTCAAACTTTTCCTGCCAGTAACCTTGGACTTGCCTAAATGACCTTACATCAAGATCAAGAAAACACGCTGGGCTCATAAGTAATTGTGTGAAGTATTAACTTAAAAACTTCCAATGTTTCTCCGATGGAGAATTATAGAGCAGACACAAATCATATGACTTTTCTGTAAGTGACATTGAACTTGCCCAAATGACCTTGTGTGAAGGTCACAACAGACCCTCAAGTCAATAGCAATCTATGTGTCAAATTTAAATAACCTTGGGTCAAAGACCCTACACACCTACTGGTCATTAGCAGCCTTTGTGACAAATATGAGCTTTTATTATAAATAAATGTAAATTCATGGCCCATACAGGATTGTTAAAATAGAGGATGAAGAGACAGATAAGGTGACTCCTACATACCCCCCATCCCAAATTTAAATTGGAGGGGGATATAAAAATGTTGGAGGCAGATAAAATATAGAGATTTTGATTATCTTGATATATGTTCATATCAAGAAGCACTTAATCAGAGCTTTCCTCTTACATGTATACTTACAGACTAATGTCCCAGCTTTGTTACTCTGGAGACGTCCAATAAAGTGCCATCTTATATCCTTGCATTCTGATTGGATCTAAAATATTGATAACAAGATATAGCTACTAAAACATCTTCCTTAATTAGTAAACGTAAACTTTATATTAATATTAAATAGTTCCAAACACTACATGTTATTAATTCTACAGATGTAAATGTTCCTATACAGAATTCATTCACTTAAACTTCCCAAAATTCCCAAAGTTCTTTAACCTACCTCTGGGTCAATGGACTTCTCAGATAATTCATTAACCTGCAAAGATCAAATATGATTTATTCAAATAACAACTTAGACCCTTTATCATCATAATAAATATAATCTACAAAATATGTTTACCTACTACAATGTGAATATTCATCAATTTAAAAAAAAGAAAAGATAGACACCTCCCTACATCTAGACATTTTCATCTAAATAAGTACAATGTATATAAAAAACAAAACTGTAAACCATAAATTAAAAAGGCCTGCAACTCTTGCCATTTTATCTGAGCTGAAAACAGTTACATATCAACTTATACTTGTTAAACATATTTATGGACAAAATAACTTCATGGTCCAAGAATGTAAAAAGTTTTCAATTTAAATATGAAAACTTCATAAACTTTAGGCACTTCTGGTCGAGATCAGGGGACTAAAATGGTGGTGACTGAGTGGAAGAATTGTTGATTATATAGTGGGGGGAGGGGGGGTCACTTTATATTTTTTCAATTTTAATTCCTATTGATTTAGATGATAAGAAACTATGGACAACTATGAAAGCTCTAAACACCTCTCCCTGAAGAGTTCTAATGTTCTGTGATCATACTTTTAAATGCAGCTGGAGTGATCTACCCTTTGATGTAAAATGGAATAAACAGAAATCTACAGTAAATGAAACAAATTTTATAAGATCATAGTATTCTTATCATTACACTAGAGTTCCACCAAGATAAAGTAATTGAAAACATTACTGTAAAAGTGGTTACCCCCAGTATATTGAAGGGTTGTAAAATTGACAAATTTGGTATATAATAAAAATGGTGAGTGGAAACTTTGACAATCTTCTAGTATTTAACAGTGCCCTTTAACAGGAATATGAAAGTTGATGAGTGGAAACTTTGAAGACTATTAGAAATTCCCCAATATCGTCAACTTTTCCACATCGCCAAAGTTTCCACTTTATAGTATAAGACAATGCAAGTAAAATCTTCACTAGTAAGTACTTCACTACTCCATCTTTGAATATTTTTCCTGGAGAAATATGGCAGGTCCCCTATGTTGAAAATGAACTAGATAAAATTCTGTACATGCACTCTTATATTAAACAATTTTCTGAAATCCCCCCCCCCCCACCAAATATTTTCATTAGTGTTTAGAGCTTCCTTCAAAAAGAAAATAACACTGCATCAATTCAGAGATGCCTCTTACAGCATAATAAATATTATATTAGTGAAACAACCTGCAGGTCTTCCACCTGGCTCCAGGTCTATTACACAAGATTAGGTTAAATATTTAAACAAAAGAATCAAGGCAAACATATTGATTGAAAAGACCACCAAAATGAAAATGAAAACCAATAAATTAGAAAATCAAAAATTAGCTTATAGATATTCCAATCAAAACTTACATAATTTTCCCCAAAGTGCTTCTGTCCACACCTGTAGGCCTCCACTATAGAGGTGGGGGGCTTTGTCTTGGACACTGCCACAAGTCTGGACGTCACCGGCATCTCCCCATTATCTGTCTGTCACAAAAAATGAAAAATATGTTACTCTAGTCCGTACTGCATACTGTATATGTTAACTAAATGATGGCACATCCCACTTAATGATTTATGTACAGTACCTATAATTTGAGTATTTGCAGATTTCATTTACAGTGCAGTTGCAATAATGTGACAATGACCCTACATGTAAATGTATACAGTAAAACTTGGTTATAGCGAAGTCCTGGGGACCTCTGAATTTACTTCGCTATATCCGTAATTCGTTATATCCATATAACGAATTCGTTAAAGTATATATAACGAGTTGGCAATATGCATCTTTTCCTTCAAGTACGACTACTAAGTATGTTCTAGCAGGTATTAAATACAAAATTTTACTTGGGGTACTAAATATTTCTGATGAATGGAATTTCAAATCTAAATACTTATAAAGAATAATCATGAATAATGTTGTTTAATATTTTGAACTTTAAGATATTGAAAATTCGTTATAAAAGATGTGTAATTTTTGTTATTTTTAACCTCTACGGGACAGAAAATCAGTTTGCTATCCATAAATTTCTTATATTAAAGTTCATTATAACCGTAATATTTTCCTAGGATATGTTAAGAATTCAGCCAGGGATTAAAAAAAACATCGCTATATATATCCATGAATTTGCTATATCTGTGTTCGTACTAATTTATAAAATGAGTTTTACTGTACTTTATTTTGTTTTTGCAAGACTCAACACAGATATACGATTCCTTAAAACCTAGCCAAAAATGGTCTCTGTAAGACAGTAATCAAAGCTTACAGAGTTTGCCTTAATTAATGTTATCTTTAAACAAGCCAAAGTCCCACACTAAACTAATAATTTAGTAGTTTGCATCCCTAGATGCAACATTCATACAATTTCGGTCCAGATGGAGCTTGCAGTTACTTGAGAACATGGAGAATGGACTTAATTGTTCTAAAAACTTTAAACTGGTCACTGAAAATGCAGGTCAGAACTAGCATACAAAGCAAGTCTGTTAGTTGTGCATATCCTTTGATGCATCCATATGTGTTTGGTCCATATAGGCCTATTTACTTGGAATGGAACAGCTCAAAAAGCTTTGTCTTTGTGATCACTCATCCAGAAAGAAGATCCAACATCAGAAGTTAGTCTGGCAGTGTGCATTTCTAGACTATCATGATCAATGCAAGTTTGTTTTATGAAGGGCTTAAAATGAACCAGAAATGTTAGTCAAATCCATCATCTGACATAAATCTGGTAGTGTGCATCCCTAGATGCATCATCCTTCAAAGTTTGGTCCATGTAAGGCTTGAAGTTGCACTCATGACTGGAATGAGCCTGCTCCAAAAACTTTAACCAGGTCACTCATCTGAAAAATGTAGGTCAAATCCAGCATTCAAAGCTACTCTTGTAGTGTGTATCCCTTGATGCATCAACCTTGCAAGTTGCAACTTGCAGAGAAATTTGCTCCAAAAACTTTCATCTGAGACACCGACACCAATGCTAACACTGATGCCAACGGTATTACATAAGCTCGCCAAACCTTGTTGAGGAGCCAAAATGGAATTATTCTGAATTTATACAAACATGCAGTATATTGAGAAATGAATAATTAAACATCAACAGTGTGGAAGCATTAGGCACTTCTTGATGACAAATGTCCTTAATTAAGAACTGTGCAATAAAAATAAAAAACAACTCAAGGCCGGTGCTCTCTATTTCAGATCCGTCTAAAATAGCAGTACTAGTGCAATTCTCTGTTTTACTGCATGGTAATAAATTGTAGATTCCTTTATTTGGCATGATAGTCTATTATATGCACAGTCACATATTTCAACAAACATGATTGATATTCAGTAAGAAACATCTGCTCTTTGTTACATTATAGGGCTTAAACCACTGTATCAGATCTTCAATTTAAACTCAGGATGTTTTCATAACCTACAATGATCAAAAACAAAGGTTATATTTATATGCTCAACTTTTTAAATACATGACTGTAAATCTATTCGAGCAAAAGAGCTATAAGGAATTGATTACCTACTACTGACCCACTGACCCACTTTTTGAACTATTCAGTCCGAAGGATATAATTCAATTTGCTGGTAAAAAAAAAGAAGTTCTATATTGTGTTCTAACCTGTGACATTTTCTCTGGAAGAGTTTAAATAAGAGTTTAAATAATAGTGCATCCATTATCATGCTTATGAATCAAATCAAGGCTTTCTCATCACTTTTTTGGAATGGGGTTGGGGTTGTAAAGATTGGGAAAATACTAGTGACATTTTGAGGAAATTTTGGGATAACCATTATACTTTTAAATCATGATATATTGGGTTTCTGGTCCTTGTTATCAACTAAATTTTTGTTTTGCAATACAGAGGAATATGAATAGCAAGTTTAGTTATTATATATCCAAATATATTTTCTTTAATTTGGGGAGAAATAACTATTGGGAAAATTAACACATCCGTTTGGGAAAAAAGGTAGCTTTTTTTGAATTGGGAATGGGGCCCTTGAACGGCCCCATTTATAGACAATTGAGAGCCCTGTAAATAGTTTGACTTAACCATGTTTTGATATGACAATCCCTCTGGTAAATAGATTTTTTTGATGAAAGGAAGAGATAGTCATGGCCGGGTTTATAAAAGCACAGTAACATTTTTTTTTTCAAGTGGATTAAAGGTAAAACAAGTAGAATACTTTCCTGGTCATGACATGGATCATCATATTAATACACAATGTTTTTCACCTTCCCAGGATTTAAACAGCTTAATTAATATCAACCAAGACCATGTTTCATGTCAGAGTGGACTATAAGTCTACAACATTTAAATTAATAATTGCCCGAGGCTTTCCATTATGAAAAACATGCAATTTTAAACTGGTCCTTGACTCACATGGCAAATAATTACTTTGCACTCTCGTGTGCATACCTCTAACTAAGAAGGGGATCCTGGAAGGTTCATCAGCAAAAATATTCTCTATCGAGAAGTTGATGGCTCGTTTTAATACTCCCCCTCAACTTCTCTACGAAAGACCTACTAAAAGCAGTTCAGAAATTGACTAAATGAAGAACCAAACCGGGTCCCACTTCGATCGATGTTTTAGGATCGATGCATTATCATAGACATATTTTGGATGCACAGGTGTTGTTTTGCAATGGAAATGCAATTAAAAATACACATTCTGCTGACTTAAAAACATTTATCACAGTAGAACACTTACTTGCGATATCTGTGTCACTGGATTCGTTTATTCATTAAAAACTGTGTTTGAACCCGGTTGACCTTTAAAAAAGTCTTAAACTTTTTCTCTGGATAAATTGGATTAAATGTTCCAGTGTTAAATAGATATCCGGAGGAATAGTTTTAGACCTTTTTTAGAGGTCAACCCGGGTTCAAACACAGTTTTGAATGAATAAACGAATCTGGCGACACAGATATCGCAAGTAAGTGTTCTAATGTGATAAATGTTTTTAAGACAGCAGAATGCGTATTTTTAATCGCATTTCCATTGCAAAACAACATCTGTGCATCCAAAATCTGTCTATGATAATGCATCAATGCTAAAACATCGATTGAAGTGGGACCCGGTTTGGTTCTTCATTTAGTCAATTTCTGAACTGCTTTTATTAGGCCTTTCGTAGAGAAGTTGAGGGGGAGTATTAAAACGAGCCATCAACTTCTCGATAGAGAATACAGCAATGCATGATGTGGAATATACAAAAACTTCTTACTTGAATGCACAACTGACCAGGTGCATGTATCATAGCCAAAATCAGTTTAGGGATTGTAGATTAATATATGCATAATAGGTTTAGTAGGGAGAGTCATGTGAATGAAAATATATATAAGGCTGCCAAAGGCATGAATAGTCATACAAAACTTATTAAGGAATATGAAAATGCTATTGTTTTCGTCACAGAGTGGCAAAAATTATTTTAGCTCCAGTGGAAATCCTGCATACAGTGCATAGCGTTGTTAAAGGTTATGTTGTGTATACCTCTGAAAAATCACTAAACACACAGCTATCTATTGCATACTCTTTGCACATGGTATTACTGAAGCTTTTGTTTAAATGTACGTCTTGGTTCATGTCTGTTATACAATAACACGTGCTTGATAATGCTTACATAAGCCATGAATGGTGATGGTAGTCTTTGTAAACATCAAAAACATAATGCATGCGTATTCAAGATCGAGTAATGGTTCCCTGTAGTGTATAAGTGCTACATAACCATTTTTTTACTATGGAACAAAGAGATGATTCTTACCTTTCTCTTCTCTTTGGCAGTTTCTATTTTGTCCAAAACACTGCGTAATGCAGACGATATTGAGGACATTTTCCTTCTGCTGGTCACTTTACGGATCATTACGCCTTTATGTTTAGGATCGGACTTTTGGTAATGTCGAGCCCGACACGTTTCTGGGTTACCAAGACCAGGATTCGGGCCCCTTGATCAAAAAACTCAGAAATCTAAGGCATGAGAAATCCTCATAGCATCGTTGTTATAATTAAGTGCATAAGTTTGATCATTTCAAGGATACACCTGAAATACAGGACGTTAACGATTTGAAGAGAGTCACGAGACAAAGCAAGAACGAGAGGTTAAAATAAATAGAGCGTCAAGCGCGTTCACCTATACTAGCCTATAGGTCATGACCACTCAGCTCTACGACCAGTTTGTAACAGGTGGCAGATTTCTGAACTTATTTCGAATAAACTACAACAAACTTAATAATTTGCACTTAAACCACTTTACGAAATTTAATAAGGCTTATCACAATATTTCCAGTGGATTTGAATGTGTTTTAAAATAAAATTGATCGATCTATTTTAGACCACGGGTAGATTCTACATTGTACGTTACAATTATGCTGCAAATAATTATCGGATCGGTTGGATTTGCCATGTAATACAATCCAGACGTACATCTGTATATGCATAAACTGGTTTTGGCTCTGAAGATTTTAAAATCTTTCATAAATAATGAAAACGATCTACTAACAGGAAGTCAGTCCGTGATGCACAGACGAGAAAAAATATGAAAATACTATATCTGTTGTGAATACTTGATCCTTCTTTCTTCCTTTCGAAGAAATAACACTGAATAAAGAGGTTGATAAAGCTGTTTTACTACTACATTTGTATATGGCTGTGAAAACCCTTTTTTTAAATTTTAATATTAAAAATTTATTTAAGGACTTGATCAGTTGATACAAACAAACTTTTATCAAAATTGTTGAAAATAACAACTTAAGTCATGTTTAGATAAGTAAAATGAATATTAAGTGTAACCGCATATATTTTAACTTTTCATTAATCGCAAAAAAGTGATTTAACATGACAAAAAAATGTATAGATTAATAAGGATGGTTGCAGAAATGTAGAATTTTGAACATCATAAAAAGTTTATAATCTCTTAATACGCATATTTTAGAAATGCATTATTTGCATCATTTACAACTAAAATATGTCCAGAAATATATACCAATCCAGGCATCGTTTTTTTTTTTTTTTTTTTTTTTTTTTTTTTTTTTTTTTATATATATTTATCATATGTCCTTAACTGGTAAATATCAGTATATTTACGTTTTTAAACATATTCTAAAATGTCCACCAAGTTATATGGTTAATCATGGTAATGGGAAAATCGGGCGGTTCCTTAATTCATAATTATATAACTTGTGTCATCATAGAATAGGAAGAGTGAGAGAGAAAAAAAAATAAGCGCGTTCGTATGAGAAATTAGTTATCTACACCGTATACATGTATTTATTTTTTATTCATGTAAATACGAGAAGGGTGAAATGACAAACCCCAGCTCGATCTCCTTATACAAAATATTTTTATCTAACTTGTGGAATGAACAAACCTTTTCATAACTCATAGCCATACAGGGTGGGAAGGGGGAGATATGGTGGGATCCCCCCCCCACCCTCCAATAATTTTGCTGAAATATATGTATAGTACATGTATATTATAGAAAACATCTACTTTATGCTTGTGCCCTCTCAATAATTAATAATTTTTTATGACTTTTGTTTAAAATAAGTGCCCCCCTCCCCAACTGAAAATGTTTTGTTGCCCCCCTCCCAAAGTGAGATTGCTTCCTACGGGCCTGTAACTTAATGTAAAATGGATCAAAAATTAAAAAAAAAAATATATCGCAACGTCAAACAAAGGCCAAAAGATTAAAAATTACTCAAAAATAAAATAGTGGTACATGATGTATTTAGGAATCTTTAAAATGTGTGGATTATACATTTTTTAAAACCATTTTTTTATGTAAAAAGCTTTAAACATTGTTATGTGGAATAATTTAAAAAAAAAAAAAACGACTGTGTGTAATTTAAAACAATAAACCCCATCTATATACAGACCGAAACAGGTAAACGGAATTGTACAGAATTAACGTTTACGAAAATACAAACAGAATTTGACATGAATAGAACGACTGATTTCTTTTGAAATTTGATAGACCAGTTGTACAGTCTATCTGCATCAATTTATATAGTATCGTGGACAGTGCGTAAAAACATAGAATATGGTTCATGAAAAAAGTCTTCCAATATCCAGGATATCTGCGAAGTAAAATTATTTTGTCCTGATCTTCTTTTCATACTGTTGAAATCACATGGCTTTAGATTGCTTTAATTCGACTGACAAAATTTTTTTTTATACCCTCAGTTTTGTCAGTCGGATTAAAGCGATCTTAAGGTTATAAGAAACAAATTACGTTTACCCGACAAAGTTTTTATGTCAGAGATATAGAATTTCTATGATAATTTTTATTTATATTTATATATTTATGTTAATATCTATATTTATAGTGTTTTAAAATCACCTCGATCATGAAACTGCTATGTAAAATTTCTCTGTTTTGTCAACAAATTCCTTACCCTTCATGCGCGGATCTAGAGGGCTGTCCCCCTGGAATTGACAGAGTCATTAAATGTAGATACTGAAGCAAAAAAAAAAATGCTTTGGATCCTCCCCCTTAAAAACGTGTCCGTAAGTACACGCACGTACGTGTGTGTTGATATACGAATACAAACATCAGTTGTACTTAAGATTGTTATTATATAATATTCCTGTCCCCTAGGGTTATAGTATATGTTGACAGTGTGTATTTACATGTATAAGGTTACAGTACTGCATGAATAGTGAAGTCAGCTGAGTGCATTTTTTCCAGTGGATTGTTACAACGCACTTTGAAAAATTACGCACTTGGAAAAAAAATTTCAAAGTGCGTTAAATTTGGGACCAAGTTAACGCACTTTGAAAAAAAAATACATTATTTCTTTTCGAAAATGCGTTAATATCGACCATATTAACGCACTTTGAAAAATAATGTGCACGGCTTGGTCAATATTCTTGCAAATTTAAGGTTTGATGAATAATTGTTTGAACCTAATTGGATAACTTTTCGGTGATGACGGCACTTCAGGATCTGGGATATATACGTTTTTAAGATTTTTGGGGTTGTCTTGTTCCGAAAGGTTCTCGTAAATGTTTCAAAAGGGAAATGGGTCTTTAGAAATAATGGACGAATGATTATTTAACAGCACAATTTTGTTTTTTGTTTGTTGTTTTTGTTTTTTGTTTGTTTGTTTGTTTGTTTGTTTGTTTGTTTTTTTTTTTATAATTTTTCCAGTCTGTAATAAGTTCGGTAGATGTAGGAGTCGATAAGTGACTTCAAGCATCTTATTTTTTAAAGGAAAAGGGGAGGAATTCTGGCTTTTTCATTGAAAATAATTTTCCCGCAATTGTGTTTTTCTTTATAATTATTTGATAAGTATTTAGAAGTTTGAAACAATTGTTAATTCCCGCACAATATGATGGCCTATTTTACAGTTGTTTGATTAGCATTAAGAGGTATAAAAGAATTACTTATGCATTTTATACAAGTTTTTTCCCATTTGCATTGTATTTGATTTTATGAAGCTACTTTGGCCAAAGTATAGTCAGTTGGATATTGTTGCTTAAATCAACGATATGGTCCCTGAGCCTCTCTCCTTGAATGTAACAAGATGCGTTATTATTATTATTTTTTTTTTTTTTGGGGGGGGGGGGGCTTAGGAAAGCTTATCTCAATTGTTTTCATTTATTTTACGTTGACTCAAATTTATTGAGAGAGTATATCAATGTCATACCAGTTATGTAAATACATATATTTGAGGAAAGATAGGAGAGTTGGGCTGAGGGACCTTGTATCTGTCTTCTCCTCGTTCTCGATGTGAGTATAGATCAATTCATTAGTTTTTTTTTTTTTTGAAAGAAATATATCATAATGATGCTGTCTATGACTAAAACCTAAGTCCAGAATTTTTGTTTTATACATATTTTTTTTCAAAGTGCGTTAAGTGTCTTCATGGTAAAAAATGTTGATGTACATGTACACTCTTAACTCACTTGGAAAAAAAAAATCAAAATGCGTTGATTTTGTTCCAGTTTTAACGCACCTTGAATTTTTTTTTTTTTCAAAGTGCGTAATTTTTTCAAAGTGCGTTGCCACAGTGGATCCTGTAATTTGGAAAATTAGGTTTCCTATAGGTATATAGATATAGGAATGCCGATTCTGCATATAGGAAATAAGCTCACACGAAACTGTGTGGAAAAACTAAAGTCTTAAGGTCAGACAACACGTTCCTCAATAATAATAATAATAATAATAATAATAATATATATATATATATATATATATATATATATATATATATATATATATATATATATATATATATATATATATATATATATATATATATATATATATATATATATATATATATATATATATATATATATATATATATATATATATATATATATATATATATATATTATTGAGGAACGTTTCGTCTGACCTTAAGACTTTGCAGTTACCTATCAAATTATATTATAAAATAAACATTGTAAATACATCAGACTTAGTTTTGATTATGGTTTACAATGCAGAACGAATTTGTGTGACATACATCTCTTCTGTATGTGATACTTAAGTATGTCTCGTGGGTTTCTATATTTTTATTTCTGTCTATTAAAATTAAAATAAAATATACATGGTGTTCTCATCAAAAGTATACATAATATTACTATATGTAACATAATTATAGTTTTGTTTATTTGAGTAGATAGATAGATAGATAGATAGATATAGATATATATATAGATATATATTTTCCAAGATTCTTCTAATAAGTTTCCTGACAAAAGAATAACGGTACCTTATCAAGTATTTGTGCAAGATTCCAGAGAATATTATGTACTATTTAATCCTATTAGAAATCACTAGTATTGCCAATATTACATTTTTTTGTGTCTTTATCTCTTTAGACATTTTGAAAACAGTTTAAAAATCACAAGATAATGATAATTATGATTAATTTGGTGTATATAACGAAGAGATACGAAACAAATATTCGAGCAACGCGTGTCGTCAGACCTTAAAATTAGTATCAAGGAGCTATAATGGGTAACTACCAAGGTATAATTGTATGGAAAAATATTTCATCTGCAAAAATTGTATGCAGGAATCAGATCGTGAGAGCAGCGCCTATAATAAAACTAGTATCAAAAGAGCTAAAATTAGGCACAGGTGCTTGGAGACGGGAATCCCCCCCCCCCCCTTGCGTTCCGTACCGGAAGGGTTCTTCAACTTTTTTATATAAAATATTTTTCAATGACACATTCACGAATAACAAAGTATTACAATTGAAAAATCCGAAAAATACTAAAAAAAAAAAAAAAAAAAAAGGCTTGTTCTCTTTTAGTATCAGAGAATGTGAATTTTTATAAAAGGCTAGTTTTGGGTTATATATTTTCAATTTCAATGTTACATTATAGTTTTAAAATTCAGAGAATTTAAAACTAACTACATGTATTACAATCTTTTAGACAATCACTTATACTTATTTATTATTAATTTGTGTTTGATAATATTAAAAGAATTTACTTTCACTATCTGTTGACTCTACAATAAACATCATTCCAATTTAATCAGAATTGTTTCTCTTTGCCAATTTGGTATTACAGAGAAAAAGTGAGTAGCTATGATAATCCTACTAAGCTAATTCCCCAAACTTCACAGACGAAGTTCATGTGAAATTAATACTTTGTGAATGTGTCAAATATTCAATTAGAAATAATTTTATATTAAAAAGTTGAAGAACACTCGAAGAGTACGGAACACGTAGAAGGGGGGGGGGGGGCGTCCCCAAGCACTTGTGAGTGTCTATAGATACTTCAAGGGTAAACGCATGAAAATAGAGGGTGGTTATACATATAAAAACACAATCACAAAGTGATCAACTGATACATACATTTTCACACAATACATGTACATTGTTTTCACTATTTACCAATTTAAGCATTTTGATGCTAAATTCATGCATGACTTTTCGCTTTTCCCATGTAGGCTCCTGCGCATATTTGCTTTTTCCTGGATAAGCTGAATCTGCAATTATTTTATATTCTACCTAAATGAAACTTGGGTTTCAAAATTTCAACCTTGTTTTTCCTAATTTTAGGAATCCGCTGGAAAAAAGTGCACCTCCCTTTCCAGGAGTCTTACATGTTATATTATTACCTGTGTTGTATGTACAATGTATGTTGATTTTTTTTCTTATAATATTTATTATAGTATATTACATGTAATAAATTAACAAAATAAAAGAAATACAATTGCAAGCACTTTAAACAATACAATAAAAACGCTAAAACAAGAAATATTAACACCTGCTGATTTTATAGTCAGTTAATGTTATAAACAGTTACAACTGTGTATCTCCTTGATGATAAAGATCGTTAACTTTTGATTTTTCATGATTACCGTTTATCTCGTTAACATCACTTTTCTTCATACGGAAACTCTCTGAATTTTGTTTGTCTAAAGTTACTTTGTTGACTTCAGAACTGAACGTCTTCTTATCTCCTTCTTCGTTTGTATCTCCTCCAGCATTATCTTCTCCCTCCATATTAGGTTTAGACCTGTCTTCCTCCTGTTTTTGAATATATCGATGCTTAGGTCCTTTCTTTCCTCTTCTTCCAGAGAAATGTTTGCAGTGCATGTGTAATGTACCTAAATCTAGAATTACAATTCCTCCAACCATAGACACAATTATTATGATACCAACGACGCCGACACTTGTGGCAGAGGGACGCGTGTCTTTGACGCTTGTTCTAGACGCTTTGCGTTTCTTTTCTCGAATCTTGTCCCCAATCTCTTCTAACTCTCGTTTTAAGACGTCAAATGATGCCTCAGTGGTGGTGGGTTGTGTACTAGGTATTGTTTCCTGTGACGTACTTTCTGTTGTGTAGTCCTCTGAAGTGGAAATTATACATGTATTACATTTAGTATACTTGAAGACTATCAAAGACCTGAATTTTTTTGACCGACCCTTCCAAATACTTCACAATAAACTCTGGCTATTTTTTTTCTTTTTGGTAAATGATTAACAAAATAAATTTATTTTACATGTAATTATTACGTATTCATAATAACATTGTTTTTTTACGCAAGTACATATACAATGTATATTTGTGTAATAAATGAAATATATGTGGCAGAATTACAATTAATTACTGATCCATTCAAATATTCTGAGCATGAATCGATACAAATTCCAGTGCATCTAATATTGGGTTTCTGAAAATATTGTTTCTACAATATAGTCTATTCCCCATATCTTTATAGGATCGATGCACCTTCATATATAGTTCTGCTTTTCACGTCTATTTTTTTGTAAATATGTTCTTGACCTTGTGTTTGTACTTCTTGCATCCCTTTTATATGTCGTCTTTTCTTTTACTGAACTAGCTCCATTAATCATCTGGAGAAAGCAAATACACTGTACATGAAATAATTGTAAAATCTACAGCATGACTGCATGAATCTTCCAAACAAGTTAGGTCAATACAAGATTTTACAGCTACTGTAGATGGGCTTTTCCTATCTTTAATTAACACTATTCATTCCTCTTTCATAAAATAGACCCCCTGCAACATTTGACGATGATTGTTATTACACATCTTCATCTAGCTCTTCTAAATTTCACAATTGTCGGACTTACAGTGTAGAATTACTTGGAAATTTAGACATACGTATGGTCACATTATGAAATAAAACCACTTCGAAATGGAACTCTGCCGAAACCTTTAACCTATCTGATCATTTATATGTCACTGCAGCAACCACAGTCTTGTTTCACATGATCTTATACAAAATTAATCTGAAATAATTAATTTCGAAACCCCAAAATGTACATGTATAACAGTTCCATCGACAAGTTTGGATTAGAAATCACCACATTTTCTCCCTGAGAAAATATATCTATAAGAATCATGAATGTTATTTCACACAATAATGAAAAGGCAAATCTAATGCAGGTGGATTTTTAAGACCGGGACTATTATCTGAAATAATATAATATGATTGCACATCTGTATCGCGTGGTCAAACGTAAGTCAAAAGGAATATTTTGTTTCACCCTCTAACATAGAAGGAGATTTATTGACAAGAAAAGAGACGGACAAACCCAGGTAGTAACTGGAAAGTCTGCTATTGCAAACAATATCATATATGTCACCCCAAACTGCCCCAAACGCTGCAGTATTGAAGTTGAAAACATTAAAGTAAATAAGGAAGTATCGACAAAATTAAAACAGACTACAAAGACGCGTTACCAATTACATGATAACAACTTTTCTACCTCCCGAAAGAAAAAAAGCCAACTGATACTAATTCATTCGTCAGTATATATGGCATCGCTGGCAGTCTTGAAAATTTTGATTGTTGACTGCTCAACGTATTAGTTTTGTAAAGTTTTGCTTAGATTGTCTGAACCATCTCCAAGAACATTCGCGGGCAAAACTTTTGCCGAAACATCGCAAAAATGGTAAGTCACAACGTCTTATCTAAAATTATTGATTCTTTCTATTCATCCTAATTTTATAATAAAGCACCCAAATTATCCTCAGAAAGGCTGAATGTAAGAAAGGTATACAAAGCTGAACATACCAGTTGTTGATGTACTTGTAAACGGATAATCGTCAATACCTACAAGAAAATAATTCATTAGATAACATAGAAACATACATTATTATACTACTAGTATAGCAATAAAGTCACCATAAATGAGTTTGTATACGACTTACCATAGTAACACTTTCTATGGTAGTAGTCCCAGCCAGGTATATCTTGTAAGAAATAATGACTCTCAGTCCATCTATTGACGTCACTTAATTGACAGGTTCGGTTTTTCAGGTTGTATTCAAATGAGCGACACGAGAACTGCATGGACGAATTACAAACATGGTAACATTCAGAGAGGGAGGAGTTTATCAAAATGAGTCTGTTATGAGCTACCATTACTGACGCCATCTCCTTCTGGTATCTGCAGGTATCTTATTTAAATAGAAAGGATGTAGGTATTAAGGACACACATAGTTCACCTATTTATGTATTCTTAATTATATCAATCACTTTGAAACTACATGTAAATTTAACATTACTCATTAAATGATACTTAATTTCATAATTTGAAAGGATTCAGTAACAAAACGTTTCCTTGAATGTGATAAATTCTCTCTTTTGCGGTAAAAATATGGTTTAAAAAAATACACAAAAATCACCCTCTTCGAACTGGCAAATAAAGGGTTTAGACTCAGTACACATGCCTTCGTACCACCAATAGGGATGTTTCAGGGTGACCGATGCACATTTCTTTGATCTGTCATATCGGTTGGGTTCATACTTCCAGTTGGTTTCTGCAAGTGAATCTCCATTCACCCATTTCCAATCCATATACTCCTCTTGTGATAAACCAACCCATACCGTCTGTGAACTAAAGTGTTTTTTTATATATGATACATGTGCATATAGATAAAATCTGAAGTGTGCTATGTGAGTTTTGTGATGATTTCAAGTAATATGTTGTGGTGACTTGCGAATTTGTCTTCTTTTATTCATGTAACGTAAAGAATCTAAAATAATGAATGTTTATGAGCGAGGCGAATCTGATTTATAATTCGAACTCAGTTAGTTGGTTATGTCAGAAATGTTAGATTGAAAACATTATAATTCGATAACATTCGTGACATTCACATTTTATAATTCCTGTAACATTTCTGAGCTCCAGCAAAAATAAGACTTTTTACATTGAACAATTATTTCCTGTCAGACAAAATTACAATTCATAGATATGATACTCCTCCAATCTTCTTGGAAGTTTGTTTACAGATACATTAAATGAGACGAGGCATACTTTTCTGTTGATGTTAAATTAGCCTCCGGAATTATCGATTTATCATTCAGGACTGCTAGTGTGCCTCCTTTTGATTTGCAAAACTCGTTGGCTTTGGACCACGACAGTGGGTTTTCAAACATCAGGACTCTAAGCGGTTGTAGCACTTGTGAAGCCACTAGAGAGTAAATTAAAACTAATCTTATCTTTGCAGGTTAAGTATAATTCTTTGACTCTTTGATTAGACCAACATATATCTATATACATATACAATTGTTATTGATAATTAGTATTAAACATGTCAGATAGTAAAAAAACATACTTTTTTTTAAAATCCCAAAATGTTTTATGAATATGATCCTGCTTACATCCTAACAAAGATACCTGGAATTTTTTGGGTCGTGGAAACTATGGAAACTGTCGATGATGTTGATGGCATGGTTGATAGTATGGACAAAGTTGATGAATACTCGAGAAAATTGCTCTTCAACAACGCTACAAGAAATGTGAATAAGAAATATTATTTTCGTTTTTACATTTATTTACATTATTGAAAGTAAATCTGTAATCGACAAAATGAAAGCCAACCAGTTATGCAGGTTTTGTGGTAGTAATCCCAACTTCTAACGTTGAAGGCAAACTGATTTGCTTTTTGCCATCTGTTGGTTTCTGAGAGTTGACAATACTGACTGACCGGATTGTACTCGAAGCTGCGGCAAATGAACTCCGTGACTGTCTCACATAGATCATGACAATGCTGCCATGTGATTGCAGTCTTTGTGAAGATATTATTTCCCCGAATACTTGTTTGTTCGTAAATCCTGTATTGACATTGTCCTAAAGATAAGTAAGCATTTTACTTGGTTTTTTCCCAATAATGATGGGAAAATGTTAAACAGAACAAAATAGGTTTGATAAATAAAAATAAAATCCATTATTGATAAACAGCATTTTCTATTTTTGTATTTTTCTCCCATTTTTACGATACATTTAAAATTGAAAGAATTCAAATAATCGCGTCAGATTAAGCATCTGGACTTAATGGCATGAAAACAACCCGTCGCGACAATTTTCCAACTTTTTTTGCATTGATAGTACTTTTAATCTGAACCAATGTTTAAGAGCTTTTCACCTAAATCATATTGTCTCTACATGCCTAAAAATAATCCTTAAGTGCAAATACAGGAAACCGATAGAAAAGGTCCCAAAGATTGAATAGCCAAAATGGATACCATACCAAAGGTAGTGAGAAAAAACACCAATGCATATACATGTATCATCAATCAAGTTGGAAAAAACAAGACTTTTTTCAGTAGAATGGCCCAAACAACAATGTTACTACTTTATTTTCATGAGTAAATGAGATTTTCAAAGATAATGCATTTTAAAAACAGGATTAGCATATGGAGACCGAAACATGGACCAATCGTACTAGTATTCAGTAATACAACTTCTATAGAGAGGTTAAGATGATTTTTGACGGATTTATTTTAATGGCGTTGGTCTCACCTATGAAACCTAGTTATGGACCAAAGAAGTAAGAACCAGAAAACAAGTCGTTTTTTTCAAGCAATATATTCTTAATATCAAAATTAGTTTAAAAATCTCCGTTATAACTAAGAAACTGAAGTCCTTCAAAATATTTTAAATTTATAAGTGTAAACAGAAAAAAGCAGATGGCAATAGTACATGGTGCACTGAAAGTTGTTTCAATAATAACAAAGAAATATTTTTCTTGTTGCGAAATGCTTTTCAAATGATAACGTCCTCCAAAATAACAAAATGTAGAAGCTTCGTCAATATGGAGTGATCCTACACGTGTTTGAACAGTATTCTTAAACAAGAACGGATCGATCATTTATAAGATGCATTATTTTAGGAGCTTTAATTATTAATCATTAATTTCCTTAGTTTATTCAATATGTGATGATAAATAACAAAACATTTTTTTCTTTATGTTTGAATACTGGACGCGGTCGACAGAGTTCGATACTGGGGAATCATTTAAGCTATCAAAGGATCAGACATATTCAATAAATTATGGCCTGGAATGACGTAAACCTTTATTTATGATTCTTGTAGGGTTGCTGAAACATTTTTTTTTTAAATCAGATATTACGATGATTTATAAGAACGCTTTAAGATATAAATCAGTGATCATTAATATCGTTTAGATCAATATGTACCACAAAACTGTCATTCTTTTACATCTGTGAACTTCTAAACATAAAATCAATGTTCTAAACATGTTCATCAATAAATTCTAGGTTAATCGACCGACATGTAGTATGTCTGTCCGTCCGTCTAGCTAAATGTCTGTCTGTCAGCCCCTAGATATTATCATGTATCTGAGAGGAAAGAGTAGAGGCTGTAAAATCGATTTTATATGTTTTGCATTTTTTTTTCCAAAAAAGAATACTCTTTGAAAAATTGAAGGAATGAAGGGTTCTTCATATCTTCTTAACTTGACCTACTGTAACAGACATGCTATCAACTTACAATGTAAAGAATGGACTTCACTTTTCGTCATGCACCATCTTTGTCATTCATTTTTAAAACATTTAAGCACAAACACAATTTGCAAATAATTACCCAAATCTAGAAAAAAAATAATTACGTTTAAAGTCCACAGGAGATTTTATCCGACGAAATAGTACGTAGCGTAAAATGTCTTCACAAGGAGTTAATCCTTACGTCGCGGGTTCGAATCCAAATGTGGGACGCGGAGACCGGTCCTTCGGATGAGACCGTATAAACCGAGGTCCCGTGTCGCAGTAGGTGCTGGCACGAAAAAGATCCCTCACTGTTCAATGGCCGTAAGTGCCGAGTATAGGACAAAATTTGTAGTTCTCCACTGCAAGTGGTGGCGTCTCCATATGAGTGAAAAATTCTCGAGAGGGACGTTAAACAACATACAAACAAAAACAAATGTCTTCACATGAAAACTCTCAGTATAAGTATCAGTATAAATATTACTGATTGAAATCCAGAGTGCATTGTACAAATGAAAACCTAGACGTTCTCTTGCATGTACTAACTTTCACTGCAGGACGATATGGGGCCAAAGTAGTCACATGTTATACAGAATATACACAAGTTCAATGTAAGAGTTTAGTACCTGTTTGATACTGACACAGAAAAGGCAGTTCTTGAAGACAATTGTACTGTGAAGAAGTTCTGTTGGCATTTAGAGTGATGGCGCCACAAAGGTTCAATGTTTCCTCATCTTTAAAATATCTTTTGCTTGTATCGTCATTCCAAACAGTTATGTTTCTAAAATATCAATACCATTCAATAACTGATCATGGTTTAAATACATTAAGAACTTTTTTCTTTGGATAATTAAAACTTATTGTAAGTGAAATCAAAATAACAAATAGAGATATCAACATTATTTTTAAATTTTAAAAACAAATTGTAAACCTGACATACAAGCAAGCCTCTGAAGTATCTAGATGTAATTGCTTTTCATGGATGTATATTTTTTAAAATTAATATTAGTAGACTAAAGACAAAAAAACTTCCTTTTTTTGCCCCTGGTATGGGAAATTTTAATAGATAATGGAGCTAAAACAATGGATCAAGAATGTTAATTTAGCACTAAAACAGCTGAAGTTGATAAATAAAGAAAATCTAGACGGTTGAACAACAGGAAACGCAAAAACTTTAAGACGAAAAAAAATACTACTGACAAACGGAAGACAAAAAAAAAATTGCATTTCAGCTTGCAAAAGTCTTTAAATTCCACCTAACGGAGCTTTTGGATCCCAGATTAACTAAAGTGCAAATTTTAGCTTCTCCTCTCTGGCTGAGAGCTAAATTGTCATTACAGAATGGAACATTAACAAACCATCCACCAAAGTAAAAACTGTTTGGTAACTTGTAATGTAAGGTTGATTCATATTTAATGATGAAGTGATAAATCCTTAAGTTTAATGACTTTTAGGCACACACATTGTTTTGAAATGAGAAAATTCCTTTTTGCATTGAACCTTCATATAATGCCTGTCAAAACATCTTTTTTTCATAAAGAAGTGGGATCTTCCGCAGAAGTAAGTCGTAAATTGCCAATCTAACGCCATGTACAGCTAATATAAAAGACCATGTTATTTTACTGAGTTTTTTTTGTTGTTTGAATGATTATGATTTAAACAAAAACAAGTGAAATAGCAAGTTTTTAGAAGTGGTTAGCAGTAGAATAGTCTTGTGCAAGAGAACACGAATTCGTCTGACCAATACCTAAAATGTACTAATTGATAACCATTCGCCATAAGATATGGAAGTCAAGGAGTATTTGGATATGATTTATAAACCTGGTCCCTGTTTTGCATTAGGAACCTGGCATAGTGAAGAACCTAATTTAACTTTCACTGGCTTAAAGCACTGTAGCATATAATGGTACCTCACCTACAGATGGTCATGCAAAAACAAAATTGAAAAACATAAGATATTTGATATAAACTATATTTACTTTAAATTCTTTGTTTTCTCTTGAACTTAATAAAATTTTTTCTCTTACTTTATTTGTGGAAGATCTTCTAATATGTCCATTATACTAGAAATGTCCGAAAAATGGGCCAGCGTGGCTCCAACACGTGCACATGTATAATTAGCATTTTTCCAATTTCGTTTATCACTATAGTACACAAAGGTCACAGGTGTGAATTCCGTCCTACACGTGGCTGCAAATCAAAATACGGATTTCATAAGGAGGCAATTGTAGCTCTGCAATGACAATTCTAGGGAGTGTTTTCTTATTTAAGGGAAAAGTCCTTGACGTGTATATCGTTATATATAATATACACGTTCAGATTAAGTAAATTTATTTCATGAAATCTACATGTATTTTCAGGCAAATCTATAAGATGGAACATTTCCAAAATGTTTCTTTTCCGAATTTCAAGATACATACATGTATGTAATTTATTTTTGTTTCAAAAGTACTTGACATTCATTTATCACAAAATAAAACTTACCTAGAAATGTTACACTAAACATGAACAAGGCCCTCATGGTTTGTCTGAAAAAGTGACAATATCAAAACAGTTGGTAACAGAGACTATCTTATATATCCAATAACTTTGTTACCGAGATTATTTGTTTTCTGTTTTGTTTTGTTTGTTTGTTTGTTTGTTTTTTGTTTTTGTTTTTTTTTACTCTCATGTTTGATTTCCAATTTATTGGAAAAAATATCTTAATTCAAGACAATAAAAAATGTTAATAAATGTATGACTTTTTTAGTCCACCAGTGGGAATATACGATAAATTTTACTCAAGAAGATCCAGATTGCCATGCTTACAATAAAACAGGAAATGGTATAAACCATGTCAATGGTATAAATCAGTTTTGTCCTGTAGATGTCTGTTTCACAAAAGCATTTCGTCAAAGAGATAAGTTCAAAGATGGCAGTTGAAATAAATCACATAAATGCCAGTGAATATAGAGTACTATGAAATAGCTTCACCACGTTTTCCTTTCTTTCATTTTTACAATTCCCTGTAACAATGTATATGAATATAAGAAATACTTTTTAAGTCTTTATATTCCTCCGAGCCACCTCCAACACAAAATTCGTTTTCATTTTCGTAATGAAAAATTTGTAACGAAATAGTTGGAAGATGCTTTGGGGACTTTGCAAAATGTTTCGCATAATGAGACTTTTCATTTATATTGTTTTATCATAAAATATAAACATCCTTGAGAATTGACATGACAATTAATCCATTGCCCGCAGAATCCAGCTAGTTTATTTCACGTTAACTATGGAATGAATTTCCTTTTTGGTATGGTTTAAATTTAATGATTCTACCTCCCTTAAGAAACAAATGCTATCGTAAAAATAGAGGTCGAAGCGATGTTGTGGCATAAACTAGGGTTATACGAACACGAACTTTTTTGAATGATTCACAAACTACACGACAAACTATTCATTTTTTGCACATTATTGAGTACCTGTATTTTCGCTATTTTGCATATATATGTAATGGGGTTATAATGTCATATGCGTATGTGTAGAAACAGCATTTAAAGGGTGTTAAATTCAGGTGGTAGGCACACTGCAATTTTTTTCCATTTTGAAAAATCGCATATTTTGGATATTTTTTTTAAATGCCCGATTGTACAAAAAATAATTTCCCAAAATTAAAAACGATAAAAACTCTATGAACTGTCAGATCTAGAAAAGTAATGTTTGAAAATTCATTAATTTAACATCATAAAATGCCATTATATCACCTTATTTGCACAAGCACTTTAAGCTAGGGTATGATCCTTACATGTATCCATAAAAGAGAAGAGATGTAAACGATAGAGTGACTCAAACACACATCTCAGATATGGCTTATAACTGACACAAAAGGTCAAAGGATATCCTGACCAGTTATCCGATGGTAGAGGAGCTAGATCACATAAAATGACGAAAAACTGAAAAGTCAGGAGCTTGACGTCATACGTGGAGACCGCTGTTTAAAGACGGGAGATGTTTATCATCTTGTTAGGTAAGTTGTACATCAGAAGTCTTAATTCACCATGCCTTACCGTTACTTTGGGAGAGTCGCAAGAAAGACAGGGAGAGCCGGGGGAATCAAATTCCTTCGTTTCAAATTCAGCGGAAAGGAAGATAGGGTTTTTTGTTGTACATGTATTTGTACTTCACATTTGTTTAAACGCTATATCGCACAGAACAATACGATAACTGATATACATGAACATCGGAAGTTTGCCAGACCTTACCATCTAGTATGATCAATCCCTTCACCATTGGCAGTATTCAAAGATTTACCTACGTTGTTGACAAAAATATTGAATAAGAAATATTTATGCAGTTTAACTAGATTGTACATAATCTAAATGTATTATTGATTGATGATATTCATTGTTTGACAACCAGAAAGTGGGAAATACTCACAAAAGACGATTTCTAGTTTTACCAGATGGGGGAGTGGATTCCGTTGAAGATTAAAGAGGGAGACTCACAAAATACTTTGGGATCGGACTAAACTAAAATATATTATATAATGTACCACTGATTATATTCTTTTACCTATATACAAAAACATAAACTTGATTTTTTAAAACACATGAAAAGGGGTGTGGGGACCATATCTAGGTCGCCTTTGAAACGGAATTTTTTCAGGAAAGGTTGGGAAGGGGGGGGGGGTACACATCAACTCAGACGTGCGACTCGGAGATGTTTTGACTATCAAAACAAAAAAAACCTTATAATCTCCCCAAACCTGAAAATCCAAAGCAGAGCAAACACTTACCACTAAAAACATCAGAAGTGGATCAGGATCAGATGCCATTGAGGAGCAAGCATATCTTGTCGACCGGTTACAACCGCCATGTATCCTAAGAAGGGAACCGAGGTAATTTTTCCTTACTTCTACATGTATATGTTTTAATGTTTCATCGCTGACCCCTGTGAAATATTTTTAGTAAAATTTCTAATATTTTAAGGTCCATGCCTTGGAATACAGCTCCAAAAGTTCTGTTTTGCAATAATGCAAAATAAATCTTTTTAGTAATACCACTTTATCAAACAATTCATTTTTCTATGATGGAAAAAATATTTTAGATTTAACAATTTTATAAGGGCACATGTTGGACCCCCATTCCATTTTAATCTACCACTGCTTGAATTTATGCTTAATTGTTTTGTAGATCAGGTTTTCATCAGCGAGATAGTAGAAAAAAACCTTTAAAGTTAATGTGTACGTGTATGAATGTGCAATTTGTCAAATGACATAAACTGTTCTCTATCATGTGACTGCAGTTGTCTGAGAAACCGCCTTTAAGTTTATAGTACACATGTAAATAACTGTGATGTTATTTTTACTATGTATCTCGCTGATTATACTTGATCTTCCACCTTAATAATAATAATTAAAAGAACAACGCAAGCATGAATCAAAATGTTTTCTTCATTTAGTGTCTTTAAATCATAAGATACAGGTAAATATATACTCACTAGTACAGTATTTTATTTTAGTTTGTTTCAAACCCAAAGCATTTTGCGACTTCCCGTTTTTAATCTTCACCGAAAACGACTCCTCTGGTGATTCCTGTGAATATAGAAATCGTCCCCGTGCATTCCTTATAACAGTACTTTCCAATTCCTAGTTGTCAAGCAATGAAGATCACCAATCTATAACACTTTTGGATTACTTATTATCTGGTTATATACTGCGTAATTTTTAATGCAATTTCTTCGTCACCGACTTTGCGAAATTGGTGTATATTTCAAATAGATCCAAAGTGTCTGAACATGCATACCAGATGGTCAAACTTGGCAAACTTTCGATGTACAGGTACCTGTTATTGTATTGTTCGTGCTACATAACATTTGTACAAATATTAATTATAAATACAACAAAAAGCAGTGACCTACCTTTTAGTTGAGTTTAAAAGAGGAAATCGATTCCTCTCTCAGCGTTAAAAGTGACGCTACCGTTCTTTTTTTTTTTTTTTTTTTTATTTTTGTGACTCCCCAAAAGTAATGGTTAGGTACAGTGTAATTTCACGATCTTTTGATGTCGGAGTCGGAGATGGACACGTTGCTTCTTTCATGAAGCACTGTCGATATTCTGCATAAAACAAATTTCTCAAATTCAAGTTAAAGGATGCACAATTTCTCAACAAATCCACAAACGCTACGTACTACCTTTTGACATCGTCGTTATTGCACCGACAATTATTATGTAAGATTGTGAAATTTAAATGAAAAGAAAACGGTATGTATAGCGATATTTTGTTAAAATTTCTATGTCGTATTAAAAAACTGTTGAAATTGATGCTGGTCAATTTTTAGTATCATAATATCTGTGAAACAAAAAAGCATTGAAAATGTTAACACTTTTCCAGGACAAACCCTAAAATACCAAACTTCTTAAATCTGTTTGTAATGGGAACTACTATGAAAATATTATTATGAGAGCTAGCTGAAAAACACAGTAATACCCAACTTTCTTTTCTCGAATAATTTCACAAACTAAAATATATGATTAATTTTCTTTCCCGGATAAGTGAAAAAAAGATGAACGTTTGGTGTCAGGTCAAAAAGGTAGACTCATAGAGAATTATTTATGTATATATCTTTATATCAAACGGAATTAAACGGTACCTAGATTACATAATTAGCCACACGACATGTGTTTTTCTTTATGGATTTCAATTCTCTCACACACATTTTTTGACGTGTTTTGGAGATTGCATCCGCTGTATAATACCCCAAAGATAGCTTTTGCTTCTGGTGTCACAAATATGCAAATAACAAATACTACACTGGAGACAGAATGGTCTTTAAGAGGTACGTTTCTGTCATAGATATAAATAATCATTATAAATTTTTATCTTAGGAAAAAAGTTAATGAGAAAATGTCTGCAATCGCATATTATCGTATTTGAAATCGATATTATCATGTATGCAGCTGAAATTGATCTAACTGTCGAAGTGTGTATAATTGAATGAATTGCATATTATCGAATAGTACACGTAAAATGATGCAAAGCATCAACTCGGTCGCCAAAATGGTTTAACATTTTAAAGTATATTTCCGTACAAAAGAGACCCAAGAAAAATATTTCAATCGAAAAAGAATATTATATATTTTTTCTCGCAAAACTGTAAACTTCATTTTCATTTCATTTTTCAATTTCATTTTTTTTATCTTTTGATTTTAATTCATTTGTTAACTATTAATCAAAAATAAATTAAGTCATGGATATGGAAATCGGAGAAAAAGAACAGGATTATAGGCCATACTAAGGGTATTCAAAGCAAAATTTAGTTCTAACCTTTTTCAATATCATTTAATCATTTTGGCAATGTGATTAATATCGGCAAACTCATTACATTTTTTCATATTTTACACGCTCCCAAGTAGGGGAGCATTTCATCTTACAAACAAATTGAAAGGTAATTTCAACCATTTGGACTAAGTATGAAACAAATTAAAAAAAAAAGACTTTCATTTATAATATTTCCGTATGTCAACAAGAAAATATTCCATCG